ACACACACACACACACACACACACACACACACACACACACACACACAGGAGTCAGAAATGAAATGCATCAGAATTCAGATCAAAGGACAAAAAGCAGACCCCAGCTCAAATGAGGCACTTAGTGTGTGTGTGTGTGTGTGTGTGTGTGTGTGTGTGTGTGTGTGTGTGTGAGGCACTTTGTGTGTGTGTGTGTTTGTGTGTGGGTGATGACTAATTACTGTAATCATCAAATGACTAATCAGTATTAGAGGCATACCCTGATTTCTTTTTTCGTCTCCATCTTATTTTTCTCCTCAGTTTTACATAATCCTCATTGCTCTGCTCCTCTTCTGTCTTGCACTCAGTCATTTATCTCTCTTCTCTCCTTTTTCCTCTCCTCTTCTAATTGAAGACGTCTACATTTCTTCTCTCATTTCTCTCGTCTTTCTCTTCTGCTTTCTTCTTTGCTAAATTCTTCTCTCTTCTAAACGGCCTTCTCTTGTTTTCAGCAGCTCAGCAGCCGTACACGATGTGTTTCCGGGTCAAGTTTTATCCCCACGAGCCAATGAAAATCAAGGAGGAGCTCACCAAGTAAGAACCAACACACACAATGGATGGTTTACGTGTGATGAATGGAGAAAGTGTAAAATAAACAATAAATTAAAGAACCTGACATGCCTCTCTCTTTAGAGCAGCTTTATGACATGCACATGCATATTAGCTTGATTTCTATAGCTTGGTGGTACAGTAGTTTAAGAGCTATAAATGGTTGAGCAATGATTCCAGATAGTGGTTGATTGTCTCGGGGCCCTTTGGTTTCTAACACTATCCCAAGCCTTTTGAAAGAAAATTAATAACATTCATGTTAGTGACAGCCACAGCAGAGATTCATAGTCTTTTAATATGCAGTAGTGTTTTTTAAGAAAATGCAAAATCCCCGACACATAATATCCAAGTTTTGCCACCACAATTTTGATTATTGGATTTTATAATTTTCACCAAATTTCAAGGATAAATTTTCTTCTCTTTCTTTAGAAAATAGATTCTTTCTAAATAGATTCAGAAATACTGATGTTTCATCAGGCGCTAATGACTTTGGCAATATGTGCTGACTGTGATTTCATGCGAATATGCAACAGTTCTCTTTCACTTTTTCATCCATCCAACAAAGTAGCTTTCCTGTGTGTAATTAATGAGCGTTGGACTATCACCTTCACACCTTTCAGTAGTAGCCTCCTTTCTGATATGTCACACCGCAGATGCATTTATGCACTTTATTAAAACAACCTGTGTTTGGTAGATGTGATTTAAAAAAACACATTTGAAGTTGGCGTAACTTGTGTAGTAACTGATGGTTTATACACACTTTATAATGACCCTCCTCCTCACATGCACACACACCTTCTCTCAGGCATAGTGAGAGATGCTCACTCAGCAGGGACTCTGTTTTCGAGCTCTTCGTCCCATCTGAGCTGTCATGTCTCACCGACTCTCTCTTCCCTTCCTCCATCCCTGCTTTTCCATCTTTCTCTCTTCCAGATCTCTACACTCCGTCTCTTTTTTTCATCCCTAAGGTGTCTCCTCACTCCCTTCTGTTGGTCTCTCTCTGTCCTCCTCCTTCCTGCCAGTTATCACAGCCCACTCTGCTCCCTCAGGTGTCTCTCCACATCTCTCCTCTCATATTGGCATGACACCCAGTCCTCAACTTTTATAACTTGAAGCTGGTTTTGTGCATCATCAATGTCATTAAAACCTTGCTCTCTTTTTCTCTCTGTTTCTCAGCTTCCCCCTTCCTTGAGTTGTCCTTCAGTTTCTATAACGTCTCTCTAGATTTTTTCTTTAGCGTCCTTTTTTTTACCTCACTCTTCTTGCATTTAAACTATTTGAAAAGACTGCATTTATATGTGTTCATTTATTTTCACCAGCTTGTCTTTAAGAAAAAGCAAACCTAACCTCTGTGTCCTCAAGGAGCACCATTACACAACATTACTACAGATGAGTGGGCAGTGGACATTAAAGTCGAGCTGAGTTGGGAAAGTTCAGACGAGCTGCAGTCAGTGATGACAACCAATGAAGTGCTCAATATCAAGTTTTTTGGGGAGGGATTTTTTTTCCATCATGAAAATCCCCAAAACTATTATGCTAATGTGTGTGTGCTGCATGTGCCAGTTTGCAGGATGTTATTTGAAGGCTTTTTCCTCTTTGACTTTCCCCCCCCTAGATGAAAAAAACAACCCAGTGTTCGTATTAATCACATCCATCATATTAGGTGATACGTCATCAGTGCTAAAGCAGAGAGCGATGCACTTCTTATGTATTGACAATATTGTAGAAAGTGAATTAAAAATGTCAGCATTGAATGTAATGGAAGGGTTGAATTAAACGTCCAAAATTGACATTCTTGTCTGGCAATAAGGTTGTAAAAACCCTTCCAATGTATATATGGCTTCTCTGTTGATAGAGTTGAGCATTAGCTCAGCTGTTAAAGTGTACTGCATGGACGTAACCTGCTCGGTGATCCCACGGTGTGCAGGCAAAACACTGCTGACCTACACAAACTCAACCTCATGCAGTAAATGAGAAGAGTAATAATAAAACCACAATGTGGATAAAACCACAAAAGTGTTTTTAGGTCAATTTGCAGAACCTGCATGCGGCCACAGACCGACTATATAAAAAACTCTTTAGCTCCAGCAGCAGGCTTTCCTCACCGTTCAGTCTTGTGCTTCTCTTCTGCGGCTCGAGTTATAACACAAGTATCAGGAGTCAGGTGACCGCGGTGTGAGTGGCTGAAACTCACCTGTATCCACGGCGTCACATGTCCCTATAGGTTCAGCATCACTGTCATTTCTTGTCTCCTTGGTTACACAAATCGGCATGTCAGCAGCCGTGCCTAAACTTGACTCCATTGAAGCCGTTGCCATAGTAACTACAGAACCAGTCACTGCTGTATTGGTGGTTGTTTCCATAGCAATGTTCTCTTTAATTGCCACAGCAACACAGCTATAGAGCATCATGAGTCTGTGTTGGTTTTATGCATTTTATTTGTTAACCATCCGGAACAAGTTATTGTGAAGATAACGTGATGTTAGAGACACAACAGTAACAATTACTGTACACCGAACCAAACACACGTTCTACTTGAGTAACACATATAACGCACAGTCAGGTTAAGTGATATTGTTTTTCGTTCTTCTTAACTGTGTCGTGTCCGTGTGTCCAGGTATCTCCTGTACCTCCAGCTGAAGAGAGACGTCTACCACGGTCGTCTCCTTTGTCCTTTTGCTGAAGCTGCATATCTTGGAGCCTGCATCATACAGGGTGAGGCCGGTTTAAATGTGTTGACAGTGAAAAGTACTGGTGATTAAGACCGCTACAGTTGAGTTCCTTTTGTATTTAGGATGTAAACACGGATGTGAGCAGGTTTTTGCTGTTTCTGTTTCCTAGCTTTATCGCATTTGCACTTCTTTGTAAAAACTAGAACTGTGCAGTTTACAGAGGCTGGTGTGTACATGACTTTAGTGGCAGATTCATACTGTCTTTAATACTGTCATTTTTATATTGATCCAGTTTATCGCTCTGTGTTCTGTAATTGAACTGTAAGTCACTGTAGGATTTAGGGGCCCATCATGTTAAACTAACCTGCTAATCCTTTGTAAGTGTAGCCTATTACTTTGTTTTATTCATATACTGGATGCATATATGCATGTTAGTCAGAGTTAGCTAGTAGCCTATATGCAGTTATTTACTCTGACATTTTTAGCATTTAGCGTTTTAATTTGAGGTAGCCTTTATTGTGTTCATTTTGTGAAATGTAATAAATCAGTGTACAGTCGGCCACATCCCTCTTATTTTAGTGTACAACTTCAGATTGGATTCACAAACGCACCGCTAGATTGTTTTGGTGTGACTTGCCGTGTGATGACGATGTCTAACACTCGACAACTCACACCAAAAAGCTATATAGATTGATAAATACTACTACAGTTCAGAGTAAAAATATGTATTTTTGATTTTGGGGTGAACTGTCCCTTTAACACATAATATAACTAGGTTATGTCTGAAAGAAGAGCTCCATTTATCTGCTCTCTGCCTTTTTAACTGCTGCAGTTTGTCATCAGACTGATGTTGTAACCTAACATTTTAAAACACAGCAAGATGTATATGGACCGCTTGGAAAAGGAATAAGAACTATTTTTTTTCTCTCCAGTTAATTAGCAGATACAGTTTAATAATGAGCCATTTGCTTTAAAATGGATTACGAGTGGAATTAGCTGAGCCGTACGATGTAAATGAACCCCTCTTGCTGCTACACAAATCTCTGAACTTTGCAAACACTCTCTGATTGGCTCATATCCCCAGAGAGCAGAGCGTGACTGGCTGAGTTATCTCGACCTAGAGAGTGTCTGCAGCATATCATTGGCTGCTTTGATTAACGAGGGCAGGTCCCTGTCCCACTTTGTCAGGGTGTTGATTACAGAGCTGGAGAATAGGTTGAGGATTACTGTTTAATTAAACTCCAGGCAAGTTTCAGATTTAACCTTTATTGTGACTGCTAATTAAGAACGGATTTAAAAGGGAAAATAGTGTCTGTTAGAGCTTTGTACTGGATTCAATAAGGGAAATATTTATCCATCAGGGTTATCTCAGCTGCTTATGAGTATATTCTCCTGTGGAAATACAAATATTTTTAAAAAGTTCTCCCTGATCTTACACTTCAACAAGCATATAAATGTATTTCCCAAAATGTTATGGTTAATGGACTGCATTTATGTATCGTGTTTAATTCCTATTGTTTGTACGTGTTGAATTGTTCCTTTAAAATAGATCTCGCACATCTGCACCTAAACTCTAAACTGCTGTTAACGGTTCTAAACCTGATGGTATGACCACTGTCACACTGACATCACTCTCTGTCTCCAGCTGAGCTCGGGGACTACGACCCAGAGGAGCACCCGTCAGACTACATCAGAGACTTCAAGCTGTTCCCTAAACAGTCCCTCAAACTGGAGAGGAAGATTATTGAAATACACAAGAACGAGCTCAGGTAAAACAGCATGTGTGCGCATGTGTTTTGTGTTGTCTGGTGGGGTTGTTTGTTGTCTGAAGCGGCATCCTTGTTATCGGTTCACTGTTTGATTTTGATGACAGGCGTGGATGCTCACTCCTGTGATCTGTGTTTTTCAAAACGGGCTGTGGAGACAATTTTCTAGTGCAGACAGCAAGAGCGCTTTCTGTTGTTCTGGCTAGAGACACAATTTGATGATACCTAGAGATTTGTGGTGCATTGTATGCAGAAGATATTTCAGCTGAAAGTAAATACAAACTGAAATGAATTTGCAGAGGAATGAGCATGAATTATTTATTTACAGCTTAGTTTTGAAACCTTGCTGGCTACTACAGGATTTTCTGAATTGTCATTTGGATTAAAATCAACCTGGATGGAGTGAAGTGAGCTGGGTGTATGTGATTAGAGGCTTCTGTAAACTCAGACACAGTAAATATCTATAAACTGTGGCATGTTCTCTCCTTCTTTAAGGAGAGAAGTTGGATATGGCATAAAATGCAATGAGAGAATAATTAATATAATTAATAAAGCAGGAGACTAATGCACACAGAGGCTGCTGCATAAATATAATGATGAAAATAAATAAGATTAAAGTATGTTGAAACGTTAGTCTTACTCTGTACTCTGCACCGACAGAATAACTTCCTAAATTATAAGATCATGACAGACAGTAATCTATACATAAACCCTCTCCCTCGGGGTGTTTATTCGTATCATCATCGCTGCAGCTCATGAGTGATGTTGTTGGGTTTGTGACCGTCACACTCGCAGCGATTATTGAAACATCAAAGACAAATCCTTCATTTCCCACAGCACAGAGGTGCATGATGCCAAGTGCCCTCTGTCTGCCCCAATGGGTCTGCCGGACAGGATTAAGAACATGTAGATTACCACTGAGCCGTAGGAACACACTTCAGGTGATTTACAACTGTGTGTGTCTGTGAGTTGTCTTTTCAAGCAGTTCTTTAATGACTTTTACTCTAATGTATGTGTGTACTATAAGGTTGATTTATTTGTCTGGTGTAAGGACGAGTATCATCGTACATCACTCAGTGTCTTGACTTTCCAGCACTAAAACAAATGAGCAAGTAAAGCTTTAACGCTCCCACTGAACACTTCTTCTTCTGTTAATAAGTCTGTTTTTTGCGAAATGTTTACAGATGATCAAAAACTGGGCCAAATGTAATAACTTGCTCAAATGTGCTTATACTGTATGTCACACAATACCACAACGATATCCATCTCAGGCACAGTGGCATATCACAGTTCATAGTTAGTCCATGCTGCTATTATATGTATACAAAGTAGTGGAATAAATAGATCAACTGTAGACTATACTTGCCATTTTTAAAGATGAATTCAATCAACACAGCAACATACTTGTGGAAAGGGACATACGCTAACAGCATCAGCGTACTGAATTTAAAATAAACTTCTCCTCGTCTGCTCTCTTTTAGGGGCCAGTGTGCTGCATTTGCTGAGTTGAACATGCTCCAAAGGTCTCACAGCCTTGAGACGTATGGAGTTGACCCTCACCCATGCAAGGTAACTATAGTGGAGAATCAATGCAGGTGCTGGTTGACATGGTCCCTCTTATCAAAATGGTGCATCTCTTTATTAATGTTGCCATCATTTATTCCCACGCGTCAGTTATTTAGACAAATTATAGTTGCATTATATTGATCAAACATCTCACTGCCTTAGAGGACCTCCACCTCATGTGTCCACCTTTGTCACAAGTTCTTCTCTGTCCCTCTCTGTGTTTTCAGTATGTACTGTATGTTTATGTATGAAATATAAACATCACGCCTTTGTACATAATGGCTTTTATATGATAATTTACACACATTTATTAATGGACAAAGTCATTGGGGCAGTTGCTCTCGTCAAGTGATAGTGAAACTTCTGGTTACGGTTCTAAAATAGCTGATATTACAGCATATTTCTCTGCTCTGTCATCTCTTAAGTACAAAGTTACGCTTTCCGTTGTCACTGTAAAGTTTACAGCTTTTATTGTTATTCTGAGAGCCAATAATGAACAAAATATAATTTTGGATTCATTATTGATTAAAAGCGTTCATTTCAATTGCAGCCATCTCATTTACAGTTGTACAGGTGTAAATACTCACCAAAGTTGTTCATGCAGTCGTGCAGAAATACTGTGCCAATTACACACATATAGTCGCCTGTCCTCATTACCCTTTGCCCTTAATTTGCATATTAAACGGACGACCACACACATGATTAACTTCACTGACAGCAGCCTTTCAGCAAACCCGAGAAGTCACCAAGAGAGGAGTAATAATGGGCGAGACAGAGGTGAAATGGGTGAGGAAAGGTCCAAGTCAGCCGCTAGACAACATTATGTTGTTAAACAAAAGAAATATGGTGTGCACAGAAACCATCACTGAGGAGTCAATATTCCTATTGATTGGTCTGAGAACATCATGGCATTAGCAAGTCAATGTCATTGGCTCAGTCTTACTTTTGGTGTTGTGGTTCATTTGACACTTAAATGTGCCCCTTGCTTTCTACTGTGATACTGACTGCTTGTGCTTTTCTCTTTGTGTTTATTTTTGTACAATTGTGATAGTTGAAACAGACTGAATCTGATAAAGAAAAGTATTATTTTTGCATCTCGCTATCCGTTCATTCTCGCCCTCTCTGCTCATGCTCCGCCCAGTCAGAGTGTGAAATAGGGACACCATCCCATGGACAGGCGTATCAAAAGCATGCTGAGCAGATTAACAAGATATTTAAATTCTGTCTTTTGGAGAAGATCCCCTTTATCTGCTTGCCTCTCGCCAGTGGGGCTGCTTTTAATTAGTTTTGCTGGAAATGGCTGTTCTTGCGTCACACATATGCAGATCTGTGGAGATCAAGAATCAGAGAAAATGTTGGGAACACAGAGGGAGAAAGAGTGATTATAGAGAGACGCAGATGATAACAACGATGCGGCAGAGTGACAGGAACATATTGTGGCCTTTTCTTACTCGTGAGTTGGTATTGGTTTCGTTTTGCCTCATAGACAAACCGCACTTTACATACAGAAATACCTGTTCTGTGTTTTCTCGGCCTTGCTGTTGATGCAAATTATGGGTTGAAGTTTGAAACAAACAAGTGATTCGGTGTAGGTGCCATTACCATGGAGATTATTAATGGCCCACTTGCCTCCCCGCTGTTAATCCACCTGTATCCCATAATACTGTGGGCTGCTGCTCACTCTGCATGTGTGTATGTGTGTGTGTATGTGTGTGTGTGTGTGTGTTTGCAGGATTTCACAGGCTCCACAGCCTTTCTCGGGTTCACAGCCACAGGTTTTGTGGTCTTCCAGGGAAACAAGAGGATCCACCTCCTCAAATGGTACACGTGTCCTAAATTCTTTAATAGAAATCTGTAAGCATGGGAATTAGATGTGTAGCCTCCATCAAATATAATCATAACACACTCTCAGTCTACGTTTCATGTCATTATCACGGAGCTGAATATAATAATTAATAGGAGCAATTCAAAAAGATGGCCTTTGACTTAAGTTGCGGTGGCAGAGCTTTGTTCCCTTGCACGGTGACCAAATCAGTTACTGCATGTATGATTCATAAGATGAATATTTAATTATGTAGCTTTTTAACACACAAGTTAAAGTCAATGAAACCTCATGTTGACCGTGCCTCAATCATTTGCTGAGAAAATGTCGCAGCATCTGGCAATGGTTTTATTGGTTGTACATTGGAACTGTAAATGATAAAGTACTCTGGTACACCATGTAGTAAAAACTAAAAATACACTTTTGCATGTGTTGTTGATAGGCAGGAGTCGGTAAAGTATTTAGATCCTTTACTTGACTAAAAGAAGGAATACCTCTGCATTCACACTTACAGTACATAAGAATTAACGACCTGATGTACTTTACATATCAAAAGTAAATGTACTAATGGTGTAGAGTGTTAAACTAGTATACATGTTCTGTTGTTAGAATGCTACTAATGCATTGATGTTTGTGGGTATTTAATGTTGCAGCTGGTCGTGGCCGCACAATTTCTAACTAGCTTACTCTATGTACTGATAATTTAATCTATAATAATGCCAAATATTTTATAAAATGATTATATGCTTTGATGACAATTTTAATCTGAAATTCAAATAAAAAAATAGTGAAATAAATAAAAATAACAGTATTTACCTCTCTGAGTATAAATAGCTTAAAACGGAATTTATGTACAAGTAAAGTATAAGCATCCGAAAAGAAAGCACGTGAATAAATGTACTTGTTACATTTCATCACTGTTAAGATGTAAATGTAAACAAACTCACTGTTGACAACAGGCTATTGTGTCATGACGAACAGCGCCACCTTTAATCGTATCCGGAAGAATTTGGTTATTTTTTTCAGCTCAAGTTAACTTTGTTTTATCACGTACTTATATCTGAGTCATAATATGATGGTTCTTTGCAGGGCTGATGTCAGCAAGCTGAAGTTCGAAGGGAAAACCTTTTACGTCATCGGAATCCAGAAAGAGGTGAGTGCAGTGTCTCCTCCTGCATGCTCTCTCTCCTCTAAAGGGCAAACATGAAGAATACAACATGCTGTGTAGTTTCCTCCGTCATGATGATGAATTGTGAAGTCTTGTAGTCATCATCATGCTGCCCACTTCTGGAAAAAGCTGCACAGTTTCCATCTGTGTTCATTTGGATTAGTTGACCTCCAAGTACTGTCCACTCTATATTCTCTTTCCTCTTTCCTTCTTTCGTTCCCTTTTCCCTTTCCTCATCTGTGTAATGGTTACATCCGGTAACTGTGCTATGAAACTGTTTGTCTATGCAAACCTGTCCACCATCACACACACTTTACATGTGTGTGTCGCTGTTTCAGATCACCTTAACAGGCAGGATTCACTATAACAGGATGGTGGGTGTGTTTCGACTAACCTCCTCACTCACATCGTGTGTCCACTGTGGCCCAAATATGAGACTCCTTCACTACATCCGTGTTCGGACAACGTCCAACATCTTTGACAAATATAAATGGCAGGACATCTTTGAAACTGACACAGCAGTTCCTGACACACACTTTACAAGTTACAACTAATACAGGTTTCTTGCATTTAGGACACATGTTTCATCTGTACACTCGGTGTTTGTCTTCCAGTCCAGAGCTCTGGTAGATTCTGAGCAGCAATTGTGGTGCATTGTGCCTCATAAATGTGCACACCATCTTTATTTTTGAAAAAGCTGATTGTGTCTTGTGTTGCTGTTTGACTCCCACATTAACCCGTATTGATTCAGTCAGGCGCCTTAAAAACATTTGGTCCTCACTGTAAGCCAGGTTGCTCTTTAATCAGCCAATCAATCTCATAACTATTCTCTTCATTACAGAAGTTCAAACCTGCTCTCTCATCTCTGCTTAACTTTATCCGTCTGTCTGTCTGTGTGGCTAGCTCATGAATGGCTGAAGATGCAGTTTTATCTTTGTGTTTCTGTCTCTTCTCTCTGTGTGTAAACATAGTCGTCACTGGTGAGTAAATATTAGAAATAATCGTAGCACAAAACAATTTGACGCCTCTCCCCACAGTCCTGCCTTCACCTCACTTTATGATTGGAGAAACCGTTTTCATTGTTTAGTGTTTTCCTTATCTGTTTGTATCATTTTGTTTTATATCACTTTATAAAGACGTCATTTCATTCAATTCATTTTTTTTTTCCAATTATGTTTAGCTCTAGTGTGTAAACGATTATTTTGATTCATTGTCAATAAAAATATTCTGCTCTGTTTGAAATTTCTATTAGCATCCCTGTCCATAGTTACATTATAGGAATAAGATAAGCTCCATTAGGAAACTATAGATTATGCAATATTAAATTGCATAATCTATACCTCTGTCCATTTCATGTATTTAATGTCAGACATTGTCTTGACAAAGTTATTGATTTCTTTATTTTGACTTTGTCTTCATATGTGTATTTGTGTGTGTGTGTGTGTGTGTGTGTGTGTGTGTGTGTGTGTGTGTGTGTGTGTGTGTGTGTGTGTGTATGTGTGTGCTTGTGTGTATACTGTATATACTTACATTTTTCACTGTATTTTAATCAGGATTTAAATTAGTGTATTTATGTGTCATCTTCCACTGTGTGACAGGTCACTGCATGACTTCACTCTTTGCCCTCACCTCTGTTATTGAGCCTGGAACACATGAACTTAACTGTCCCACTTTGAGCTGAACTTTTCATGGCTTTATTACTGTAACATTTGCTTGAAATGCAGTTCTTCTATTGTATAATTTTCTCTTTAGTAACTTATTGGTGTCCCAAGAAATAAAATGTTGACGGTTAATTTAAATGGTTTTGACCATACACCAGGTGATAGCAATTGAAAACTAGCTTGCAAATAAGTGCATACCATTAAAACAGAATGCAGAATGTCCATAACTAATACGATAGTATATGTAGTTTAGGAGCAGTTAAATCGGCATCACGTCATTGTGTAACAGTACTTTTGCATGTCAGCCAAAGTGGGACCAAAGACAATTTTCTAATCATTTTTGAACATGGGGTTCTGGTACTTTTACACATGTATGACCACACCCACGCTGACACACACATGGCCACTGCAGCACATGTGTGTAAATCACAACTACATACCTAATATGACTGATGTGTGACACTGACGGGGTTAAGCAATATGGCTGACTAGGGGGCTTTAGCAAAGGACGCAAACTGGATCAGTGCATTCTCGTGTTATTGATCTCAGTGTTTCCTCTCTCGCACACCCTCCACCCCTGTTGTTGAGCAGCATTGATCCGGTATCTCATACTACCAGACACACAGGACTGAAATTAGACGTTTACAGGAATATATCCCTCCTTCTTGTCCATAAAAAAAAACATGTTCTGCAAGCTGCAAGTGCTTTTACTGTTAAACACTGTGGCTAAATCACTATATCTGCCTTACGTCCTCAAAGCTTACGACTTCAGGTCGGTGGGTCAGCATTTTGCACAGCTCCCCCTCATGGTGTTCAGCACTTCTCTGGTCCTTATTCTCACGTCTTTTGGTCATCTCATTTCTCATCCTCGCCTTCTCCCTCTCTGTCTCTCTGTCTTTGTCCTTTTCTGTGCAGAAGAAACTGGTGTTGACATTTCACACCTCGACCCCTGCTGCGTGTAAGCACTTATGGAAGTGCGGGGTGGAGAACCAAGCCTTTTACAAGTGCGTCCACACACACACACACACACACGCAGACACACACACACACACACACACACACACACACACACACAGAGGCGTGTTTTGGGGGTATTCCATTGACTTTCATTAATTTCTTGGAGACTTACCCTCATCCTAACCTTCCCCAATCACGCAAAAATCAGCTTTTTCCTATCTGGGAGCATGGCTTTTGTCCCCAATTAGACAAGTCATGCCCAATTAACTGGTTAGTTTGAAATGTGACCCGAAAGGTTGCCTAAGTTACACACACACACACACACACACACACCCACACACACACACACACACACACACACATCCAGGGAATTTATTGAGCTGCTCTTGAACTCGAGACGCTTGGGCATTATTTCACCACAAAATCACCACAAAATCACCAGTACTAATTGTTGAGAAAAAATAAAATATACGTAACATAAATACATTATCACATATTTATACATATTTAACTGAAATGGCACTGATATAATTGGTAACTGTTACAGCAGTTTTTAAATATATTTAAATATGATCTACTTTAAAATAGTACTGTACCTCTATGACTTCCCTTTGTCATTTTCTTACTCACAAGTGGCTACAATTTGCTTTCCTTCATGTCCCACCTTGATTTTTAGCACATTATCACTCTTTTCAAATGATTTCCCTGCCTCTCCGTGTGGCTCTGCTTCAATATGCTGCTGTCCTTCACTGGGGGAGCAGCTGAGCACTCCGAGGTCGTCGCTCTGAATTCACAGAGACTATTGACGCTGCCAGCGTGTCAGGAATGGAAACAGGCTTGGGGTGAAGGCGAAAGTGAGAGAATGGAGAGTTGGTCTATGGTCATGGTTGTGTCAAGGTTGCGAGCAAACAAAATGTGTTTTTCAGTGGGATTATCAGCACAGCTATAAATCATACTTCATAGTTATACAACAGTGGAAGCTGTTACTATGTTGCACAAAACATTCCAACCGTTTTATAAGACTTAAACTATACCTCCTTCTCTTCTGAAAACCTTGAGCGATCAGATCACAATGAGCCTTTATATATTGTTTTGTAAACTGCTGCCTGTTTCCAAGATCATGAATGAACTCTCAGTCTTAATATTTAAGCCAACAAGTAGATCTGACACGATGACTGGATTAATCGATTAGTTCATCAACAGTAAATCAATCTCTAACAATTTTGATAAATCGTAAAAAGTTATTTTCAAACAAAAATGCTGAACAATACTCGATTCCAGCTTTTCTAATTTGCTGCTTTGCCTTGTCTTCCATCACAGTAAACTTAATATCTTTGGGTTTTTGGAAACAATTAGTTTAAAGAATAATCAGATTAATTGATAATGAAAATAATCTTTAGTTGCAGCCCTACTGCCCTACTGCGCTACCCACATGGACGAGAAGTTCCTACAATGTAAAATTTGAACATCTGAAATTCCATAGACAGCCAGCCAAGTCCATCATCTGCTGAGGAAGATTGTGTGACACAAACAACCGCTCTAGACAGCGTGGACCTTGAATGGACCTTGAATGGACCTTGTGGTGAGATAGAACAGAACAGATCCCATGAAGGCAATTAATAGTTTTAGTTTTGAAATAGAAAATTTTCCTTTGCTTTACTATTTTATTTGGCACGATAATGAACCAGTTTTCACACAGATTGTGTCATCTTGTTTACAAAAGGACAACATTGTGATAAAGTCATTAAAGTGTTCTCATAACAGCCCTAGCCTGTCTAACCCTGGATATTGACTTGTTAATGACAGCAGCTCATGTGTCTCTGAGAGGCGGACAGAGAGGGAGGGGATGTCATCTCGGATGTCGGACAAACATGAGAGCCGCTTAATCAAATCAGAGTGAATTGAGTTTGTAAATGGCAGCCAAGCAAAGATTTGCGAACATACGTAGGTCCTCTATCTCTCTCTCTCTCACACACACACACACACACACACACACACACACACACTAAGCAGAGCAGAGGTGTTTGTCTATACTCCACCATCTCTGCTGCATGATAAATGATCCTGAACCAAACATGAAGGTTTATTTGACTTACGACTTTTTAAAATGGTACACATTGAAACACCTCTTTTGCTCCCTGAGAGTCAGTGCACACGGTTATTGTTACAGTCGCAAACAAAAATGTTTCAACACGAATGTTCAGTGTTTGAGCATCAGATGCTTTGTAATAATTAAGTTCTTTGTTTGCATCTCTTTTTGTTTCTTCCTCCCTCTCGCTGACAGGTGTGCAAAGTCAAGTCAGATAAAGACAGTTTCCAGCAGTAACATCTTCTTCAAAGGCAGCCGGTTCAGATACAGGTGAGACAGTATTCAAGTTAGTTTTCATAAGAGAAGGCAGACTTTTTTTTTTTCACAATACAATGACAGACAGAATTTTGCCCACAAAAGATGTGTGATGTATGTCAAAGGAAAGGGAGCGATGAAAGATATAGGCCCAGTCCCAATGTCCCCCCTAAAGCCTCAAACCCTGAACCCTCGAGGACTTACTGACGTCACCTGGTAAGTGGGTGAGTGTGAGAGACTGTGAGGGCTTGAGATGGTGGAAATAGGAACGGGACAGCACCTTGCTGCAACATATCACATTACCATGAAAACGACAAAAAATATGATGTATAATTGGTATTTATTGTATACTTTGTACTCCCTGATTTCAACGTCTTCAGGCTCTTTCCTCACAAGATGAGAAGTAACTTTATATAATCTATTTACTCGTTTTTGTCAAAACGGTTTCAATGACAAAATCAAATATTTGATGAATAAATAAATAAATATCCTCTGATGTCAAGTTTATTTTTTGTTCCATCTTTAACCCTTTATGTTTCTGAGTAAATTGAATATGACAGGCTGAACACACGTGAGCCGTCCTCTTTGTTTACGTCTCCATGCGTCCACTGGTTACCCCGTGTTTGATGTCACATTGCAATGATTTGTGGGTAATTCCCTTAGGCAAAGTCAGCGTCTTATGCTGACTTACGGAAAGGGTTCATAAAGGGCTCAAAGTGTCTGCCAGAGAGCCTCAAACACTCGATGATTTGACAGTGGGACAGCTCTAAACCCTCACGGACTTCGCGCGAGCGCGCCTCAAAGTCCGTGAGTCCGTAAGGGGGGACATTGGGATTGGGCCACAGAGTCAGAAATAACCCCTAGAGAGATTTTAAAAACGCAAATTTACCCACAATTCATCAGCAGGTCAACACTCAACTACTCCATCAATCTACTTTTAATTATGCGTCACCTTTTGCACTAACCTGAGAAATGTACATAGGCTACCACACGTGCTGATTTACTGTAAATCCATCAACATGCTGTAGATCTCCTCTTTGGACATCAGTATCCAGCTTGGCCTTGGCTTCTGTAATCGACCGACGCTCATATCACAGGAAAGCCTAACTAAAGTCTGTTATTGAAGCCGTGTTAGCTCTGATTCTCCCCTCAGACAAAGCTCTTCACCAGCATTACACTTCAGTCTGCTCTATTTCATCAGCTAGCTAAAGCAGTCTGGCTCAAGGGCTCAATGATGAGTAATAGCATAAGGTGGAGTTTGTTGGTCATTTGTGCAAATGCAAAGCGGAAAGCTGGACCACAAACGGAGCCAGTTTTTATAAAGCAGAACAGATCAGATCTTCATCCTATTGGAACAGATGATTGTGGTTCCTTGTACAGCATTTTACAGCATAGACGCACATTTTACAGAACACAGTATTGTTGTGACTATATCCACAACTTGATGACTACAACGCCAGATGTTTCATCTCACCGGCTTACTTACAACCTAACTATCAATCTCTGCAACAACAGACTAAAGGGTGGGAAGGTGGAGTCTGCTGACTTGAAACAGTGTAGTCAGAGTCCAGAACTCCAGTCGGCCAAACATCAGATTAACGGAGCTACTGACCATGCTGGCAGGAATCTGCCTGCTCAGCAGCACTGATTATGCAACATCTGCAAAACACAGATGAAAAATCACATGTGTCTCATCTGATGTTGTCTTATCAGTGAGGCTTTCTTGTCTTCAACTTGACATAGACACAAAAACGAGCATCATACTGATTTTAGCAGCTTTTCACTGGTCTCCCGTTCCAGCTTGAGTCTTTAACGCAATTTCATCCTGAGCCTGAGGAGTTTAAGGTCTGCATGTATTACAAACATTTCTGCTGTTTTAATCCTTTTATTTTTAAATGTTGTTTCGTAGAGTTTTGAAAAATGAAACACTTTTCTTATTTATAACGAATGTGTGTTTGTCCCTGTTAGCGGAAGAGTTTCAAAGGAGGTGATAGAAGCCAGCTCGAAGATTCAGAGAGAGCCACCAGACGTTCGCAGGTAAGGACAAGTGAAAAGGACAAACACACTGAACTCCCTTACACAGTTAGAAAATGACGCTATTGCCTGTTTGCAGTAATACCCTCCCACAGCGGGATATTACAAATACAGATCTAACTACCATCCAGTTATGGAACTCAAAATGTGCAAGGAAAGATTGTGAAACTAGAGCAGATGTGCTTTCATTATGCAAGACAACACACACCTCAACATAACGCACAAAGCAGTCAGTGTAGTTGATGTTTGTGTTTTCAGAGCCCAGTTTGGTCAGAGTCGAAGTTTTAACTCTCTTAGCCATAAAAACCTCATCATGAACATGGAGCCACTGGTACCTGCACTGCCTTCCACCAACGAATACGAAGACACGGCTACAGACACTGGTAGGATGTTACTTATTCTACACACACACGCACACACACCATGCCCTTCTGCCTTAGACCTCTGGAAAGTCACATGGGTGTCCCTTGTGTATGAAGGTGCACATGCACATACACAACCCTCACAGACAGAAAGCGTTAATTGAGCAGGTGATGCTCCCATCAGTCTTGTCTCCCTGGAGACACCAATCGCAGGACGCTAAAAATACCCTTCCCATGATCCTCCCTGAGTTTACCACCATGCCTGTGTGTGTCTTTGTCTCCTTGTGTCTTGTCTGACTTTGTGTGTGTTCTACGGAGGAAGGTACACAGAAACAGAGCCAGCTTATGTTATCATTACAGAAAACTCAATTTGAAGTAATTTGTTTGGCTCCAAAGGGTCTGTCTCTGTGTAAAGGCTTTGTATGGTTCTGTGTGCACAATGCAATCTGTTAGTTGTTGTGATTTTTCTGTATATTGGTACATGTGAATATTCAGTGTTTGCATTATAATAGCGAAGTGTTTAGCATGCATGCTCAACTATATTGTCTGCAAATTGACAGTGGACTCTGTGTACATGGGTGTGTGAGTGCGTATGCACTTCCATGAATTACCCTTCTCTCTTCTGTTTTGTCCAATTTTAGCATTATTTCCTGTTTGTGTGTTATTTATTCTCCCTTCATATATGTACAGTAAAGCTTCCTTGGGTCCCTTGGAACGCACTATAAAACAATATTTGGTAACACTTTATAATAACTACACAATATGAAGCATTAGTTAAGTATGAGTAAACACTTAATTCATCATTTAT